CTGTAGTCACGCCATCCTCCCGGCTACTTGTCTGGGCCACTTCCTTTCAGGAAGGCAGCCAGGCCGGCTCCTGTGTGCTCTTTGGAACTGAGCTGGGAGGGCGAGGCTGCCAAGAGCCCAAGGCAAAGCCAGGAAGCAGAGAGAGGGAGGAGCTGACTTCTTATTCTTCCGTCCTTGACCAGCCCAGGAAGGACGTGCTGAAGACCAGACTGAGGTGAGACGAGGAGCCAGTAGCCCCCACCTTGAGGGCACAGGGATCCAGTTGAAGCTAGCCTAAAACCCCAGGACTGTGACCCTGAGCTGGATCTGTGCCTGCCCATCAGCTGAAGGTCACCAGGGGAAGGAGGAAATAGCCAATGAGAAGTCAGAGGCATGTTTGTTCTTCAAAGAACCGTTTGATCAGAGATCATCCCTCCAGCCATGGTCACGGAGTACAGTACTGTCCTGGCACCCCACCTCCCATCCCGCCCTGTTCCATAATAACACAGCTAATGGGCTTCGGGTGCCCAGAATAGGCAGACCGGGGTACAGATGATAGTGCAAGAGATCTATCCTTTTGCCCAGAGAAGAAGTGCAGTCTCTTTAAGAGCTCTGAGCAGGTTGGTCTGATGGTAGTGAGTTATCTCAACTCAATGTTCAAAGTCAGCTTCAGATTGCACTCCTGTTCTGCACGCCACACACCCCTCCCTTCCCGTTACTGCACTTAACTAGCCATTAACATGACTCAGCAGTAAAGAGCACAAGCTGCTCTTCTAGAGATCCAGGGTTCGATTCCAGGCACCCTCGTGGCAGTTCACAGCAGTCTGTAACTCCAATCCTGGGGGATCTGACACTTCTTTTGGCCTCTGCAGGACACACATGCAGACAAAATGCCCATACACATAAAAACAAACAAAAACAAACAAACAAACAAACAAAAACTCAGATCTAGAGAGATGGCTTAGCAGTTAAGAGCACTGCTCTTCCAGAGGACCTGGGTTCAATTCCCAGCACCCACATGGCAGATCATAACTGTCAGTAACTCCAGTTCCAGGGGACCTGACACCTTCACACTGACTTACATGTAGGCAAAGCACCAGTGCCCATAAAATAAAAACAAATAAATTTAAACAAAAAAGAGAACTCTGAGCAGACACACAGACAGCCGTCCCTCAGGTATTCCCTCTAAACAGCCTTGCCTGGCATCTTCTATGTGCAGGAGATGTGCTGGACCTTAAAGGATAGTGGTGAGGTAGGTTATTAGAGGGAGAGTGGGCAGAATCCTGAATCTTGTGCTGACAGAAGACTTGATGTTTTGGTTGTGATGCCTTTAATAGCTGAGCCATCTCAACAGCCCTGAAGACCTATAGCCCATGAGCCCAGACAGCATGTCCTACCAGAGAGCCAAGAGGGCTTTGAAGGGACTCTGGGAGGGCACGGGAGCAGAGGGGACAGGGAGGGTCAATTTGGGAATATGTTTTAGAGCAGAGACCACAAGTGAAAGAAGTTGTGAAAATCTAGGGGAGTTTGAGGCCAGCCTGATCTACATAATGAGTTCCAGGACAACTAAGGCTAAGTAGGGGGACCCTGTCCAAAAAAAAAAAAAAAAAAAAAGAAAGAAAAGAAATGGAAAGGAAAGAAAAGGGAAGGGAAGGAAAGGAAATGAAAGAAATGAAATGGAAAGGAAAGGAAAGGAAAATGGGAAGCTGAGGAGCCAAAAGCTCCTTGGAAAGAAGCCTTAAAGAGGGGCCACACTGTGGGGTGACACACTCCTATGCATTCTCTTAGAAGAGATGGGTTGGGTCATGTGTCCTTGCACCTTTGTTGTTACTATCAGGGCCCTGTACTGGCTGGTTTTGTGTATCAACTTGACACAAGCTAGAGTTATAACAGAAAAAGGAGCCTCCCTTGAGGAAATGCCTCCATGATGTAAGGTGTTTTTCATTTAGTGATCAAAGGTGGGAGGGCCCATTGTAGGTGGTGCCATCTCTGGGCTAGTAGTCCTGGGTTCTATAAGAAAGCAAGCTGAGAAAGGCAGGAGAAGCAAGCCAGTAAGCAGCATCTCTCCATGGCCTCCGCATCAGTTCCTGCCTCCAAGTTCCTGCCCTGTGTGAGTTCCTGTCCTGACTTCCTTTGGTGATGAACAGCAATGGTGGAAGTGTAAGGTGAATAAATCCTCTCCTCCCCAACTTGCTTCTTGGTCATGATGTTTTGTACAGGAATACAAACTCTGACTAAGACAAATTGGTACCAGCAGAGTGGGGTATTCCTGTGACGGCCTGACCATGTTTTGGGGAGGACTATGGAAGGGCTTTGGAACTTTGGACTGAAAAACCATTGGGTGTTAAGAGATCTGTGGGATGTTCTGTAGGAGCTTGGAAGATAATGTTGGGAACAGTGCAGAAGATGGAGGCCTGGCTTGTAAAATTTCAGAGGCAAGTTTAAAGACTCTTATGAGGGCCATTGCTATTTTGATTGTGAAGACTCTGTGGTTTTGGTTAGCTGGGGCTGAAGAATCAGCTGTGATTAACAAGATACCAGAACTACTAAAGCGAAACCTTTGCATTACAGGGATGATTGATGCTGGTTAGCTGGAGCTAAGACATTAGCAGTGTTTAAGAAGAGACACCAGCATCACCAAGGTGAAACCTGGGAACTGTTTCCTGAGAGTACAGAGAAGCTGTGTTCCAGAGACACTCACAGTTGTACCTCATATTGGCAGCCAGTCTTGGTAATGTATAAGAGTCACCCAGGTGGTACCGGTTTTGAAACATGAGAGGGTAGCAGCTGATGCTTGGCACTGTGAGAGGCCAGGGAAGGCCATTGGTGAAGGTGCAGCCTCAGTGGCAGGTGAAGGCCCAGGACTGAAGGGGTCATGCAGAGAAGTTGAGGCTTAGCACCATGAAAAGAGCCTATGAGAGGCTATTTGTGAAAATGCAGTCCAGTTGCAGCAGAAGACAGCAGTGTTTTGGAGATGCCAGTACCATGAGATGACCACCGAGAACAGCAGCAGCAGTGGAGTACAGGCAGCTGGAGCCTAGATGACAGGGTGTGTGCTACAAAGGGCAGAGCTGGAGAAGTGACCCAAGGAGGAGCCCAGAAGATCGTGAGTGGATCCCAGACATTGGATGGTTAGAGTTTGATTTTGATTGTGACTGTGCCCAGATATTTTTCCCTATCGAAGTAAGAAAGTGGTGGAGTCCACAATTAAGAGACTTTGAATTGTAAAAAGACTGAATTTCAAAAGAGATTGGATATTTTAAAGGAATTGAAATTTTAATATGTAAGAATTTGTAAAGCCTGTGGGACTTAAGTTATTTGGATCATGGGATGAATAAGAAAGTAATGGTGATGTATTTGTGTGTCAAGTTGCCAAGAGGTCAGTTGTACTTGACACAAACTGGAGTTATCACAAAGAAAAGAGCTTCTCTTGAGGAAATGCCTCCATGAGATCCAGCTGTAAAGCATTTTCTCAATTAGTGATCAAGAGGGAAGGGCCCATTGTGGGTGGTGCCATCCCTGGGCTCATAGTCTTGGGTTTTATAAGAAAGCAAGCTGAGCAAGCCAGGGGAAGCAAGTCAGTAAGTAACATCCCTCCATAGCTTCTGCATCAGCTCCTGCCTCCAAGTTTCTGCCCTGTGTGAGTTCCAGTCCTGACTTCCTTTGGTGATGAACAGCAATGTAGAAGTGTAAGCTGAATAAACCCTTTCTTCCTCAACTTGCTTCTTAGACATGATGTATTGTGCGGGAATAGAAACCCTGACTAAGACAGTCCCCTTTCAAGCTTAGTCTTTGTTGAATTATTTAAAATGGCCACTAGTCAAGCCCACTAAGCTGTGGCTGCTCTGCCTAGCTCAGCCACCATGTTTCTCAGCCAGAGGCCATGAGTGCAACGCACCTAGAAACAGCCAGCCAGAAACACCAGCCCTGTCACCCACAAGACGCCAGCATGGGAGATGGCTCTGCCAATCTTCCATGTTGTCTCCACAAAGTTGGGCATTGCCCAGACCATCCTGCCATCCACGCAGGCCCAGTAGGAAAATGAGATTCTAATGCTTAAAGATTAATCAAAGGCTTTATATGTTTGGTAATGCTCAATAACAATATGTCCATACAATTAGAGTTGTTTCCCAATTAGCTAACCTAAATATAAGTTGTTACCCAAGACTGCTCTCCATACCTGCATGGCTCTTCATCCTCTTACATCTCTGCCCTCTCTAGCTCCTCCTCTTCCTTTTGCTCTTCCTCTCCTTACTCCTCCCACCTTAGCTCCTCCTACAGTCTCAGCCTGTCCTCCCACGAAAGTGATATAGGGTGAGACTTATCACAGAGAAGACGGCAGATGGTGAAACAGAGCTGGCCTGCCCCAGATGCAGCAACCTAGGCAAACAAAACCAGGCCCCTGCATAGCCAGCCAAACATCCCAGAGCTTGTGGAGAAGAAGCCACACTGGCAACACTCAGCTCAGGGAACATTCTAGAATGGCAGACCTCGGGCATCTAGGATAGCTGACTAGTGCCACCTCCCAACAGCTCTTTACTAAGATCAGCCTCTCCCCAAACACAGCATGCAATGGAAGTTCCTGCAAGGAACTGTGTCAGCTGTCAACCAGATCTCTAGATAAGGACCTGGATCCTCTACTTCTCAAAAGTCCTCAACTCCACAGAAGGCAGTGTGCAAGCAGACAGGGCTTGCTCTGTGACATTGGCCAGTCACTTTCTCTCTCCATAGACTTTAGTTTCCTGGTCTAGAAAGTGTGGCTAATGAACCAGTCAAGCATCATGACCAGATCCAGTGAATTTGAGAACAGCAAAATTGGAAGAGTCCAAAGGGCAAATTGGCATCCCCTGGAGATTCTCAGAAGAAGGGAAACAGGTGGAGACAGAAGCACTAGAAGTGATAAGCAGAGTAGCAGGTATTTTTTATTCTTGGGTGTGGACTCCCAACACCCTCACCTGTCCCTACACCATCCGTCTGCCTATTTGGAGTCAGAGGTCCAAGTAGGCTAGGAGCTGGAATCAGTCATAGATGTATTCACAGGTCAGCAGCTCTGAGTGGTGCAGCTGGAGCTGGAGCTAAAGGGGGACATAGAGGATAGAGGAGAGGGTTGAGGGGACCAGACTCATTTATCCTGACCCTCTGGCCCTGACTGTTTACCCATTGTAAGGCACAGTTCCCGCACTGTTGAGCATCCGAGCATGGAGGTAGGCAGGTGAGTGTGATCTCCTCTATCCTACCATGTGCCCCAGCCTTGAGATAAAGGCTCCCGTATTTTTTGGCTGGAGGGTGGCACTGCCCAGACAGACCCACCTGGCAGGCCTCTCAGTGCTGGTCCAGGATGAGGGGCATCTGTGCGCTGTCTACTCGGGGAGGTAACCGCTCTCCTGTACGCACATTGAACATAGGCAAGGTGGAAAGGGGCCGGGGCACCTCACGGCTGGCTGCCATCTGCCGAAGCTCTTCTGTATTCCCATGGATGGAACAGTGGTGAAACATCTGGATGCTGGAGACACAAACAGAAGATCAGCTCTTGGAATTGGCCTCTAGGAGATAGCCTGGCACTGCCTCAGAGCCACCCTGCTGTCTGCCTACCAGGTCTGGTTGCTGGGACATTCAAACACAGGGACTTGCTGCACCCAGTGTTTGAGACAAGGCTCCATGCACATGGACAGCCTTGATTTAAAGCTGTATGTTCTTGGTTTAACCCCTCTCTGCCTCCATCTCTTCTATCTGTAAAGTGGGGATAATAATACCCATATCCTACCATTGCTATGTAGAGTAAAGAAAATATAGCTGACTGTTTGGAATAGTGGCCAGCATAGGTAAATCACAAGATGTCAAGGCAGGAGCAGATACCCACATGGAGTTTATATTTTGCAGAAGCTAGTGTTAGCTGGGCTTTGTAGTCTAGTGTTCTGGTTTGGTTTGTTTAAAACTTAGAGGGCCCACGCTTCAAACTCCATATTGACTGGGGATGACCTTGAACTCCTGATCCTCCTGCTTCTGTCTCCCAACTGCTGGCATCACAGGTGTGTGCCTCATGCTTGGTTTACGTGATACTGAGGGTCAAATCCAGAGTCTCTCACATACGAGTACCCTCCCAACCGGCTGCATCCCCAGCCATGTAATGTTTTTATATTCCCATGGTCTTCTCAGTCCCTTCTAGCTCTTCACAACCTCCCTCAGTACCAGCTCCAAGCATCAAGACTAACTCTCTCCCTCCCTCCCATTCTTACGTTTGTCTGCCATCTTACCCATTCCTTCGCCTCCTCCTTTGACCTAGCTTTTGACCTTTCTGGAATACCATATCCGTAGCCCACCAAGCTCTGCATCTCATGATTTGGGCTTCTTGAACCTGATCTCTGCTTCTTGGTACCTGACACAGCTGCCCCCACCCCTCTCTTCTTCCCAGTCTCTGTTTCAGACCAGAGTTTCTCGAGTCATCTTCAGCTCCACCCTCAGCAACTTGGAAACTTCTGCTGCAGGGAGTGGCCACACCCATCGGAAGGCCCTTCCTGAACTCCATCTTTAGGTCCAGCTTTAATCCTATGTCACAGTCCTGGGTCCTTGCTTTCTGTTGCCCCAGAGCAAGCTGCCACCTGTCTGAGTTTGAGTTTGAGGCCAGCCTGGGCAGTACAATGAAGCCCAGTGAGCCCAGGAGCGGAGAATTGGGACGTGCCTTGTTTTTGTTTTTGTTTTTTTTAATCACTGGGCTTCTGTTGCTTACTGCCCTGTGACATTTGATAAATTATTTAACCTCTCTGTGCTATTATTATAGGAAGCTATATTTTACTATAGCAAGCCCAGCAGTGAATTTGACCTCCAGGGGAAGTTGTTTTCAACTTTCTCGTTCACACAAACCCATCTTACTTTGGGCTTTGTCTGGTAACATTTTCCCAAAGTCCTGATCTTCATTCAGAGACTTTTCTTTGAAAACAGTAAGTTTTCTGCTAGGCATGGTGGCACAGGGCATGGGAGGCTGAGGCAGGAAAAGCTTGAGTTTGAGGCCAGCTTGGGCTGTACAATGAAGCCATCTTAAAAACAGTTTCTTTCTTTCTTTCTTTCTTTCTTTCTTTTTTAAATAGAATTGAGCTTTCTTATGGAAATGGAAGCTCCAGGCAGGCTGAAGAACACCTCCAGTTTGTTATTCATTTACTAATGAGGTAGGAGAAGGATCCCTACCAGAAGTGCATGTCCCAGTCAGCGAACTCCAGCTGCAGCTAAGAGCCTGAAAGATTAGACCACTGAAAGACAGGCAGATCTCATACAGAACTGGCTGCACTCCCCTTAGAAGCAGGACTGAGTACCCGCTGACCAGGAAAAGAAATGAGGTCACTTTCTAAGGCCAGGGGAACTAAACAAGCTCCCAAATGTGGAATTCGACCAACTGAATTGTCCAGAACATGGTTTTCCATGCTGGGTGAGTAAAGCCTGTGGAGGGATAAGAGGAAGAAGTATGTGGATGCTAAGAGGAGCCAGTGAGGCAGGTGCATCCTGCATCCCAGGGAAGGCCTTCACCAACAAGCCCCTCCCATCCCCAACCCGGGAAAAAAAAATCTCCCAAGAAAAGCAGGGCAGTGCACATCAAACCCTGCGGAGCCTTCCAGGGGCTTTGTGTAAATACTGAGGCAGATGGAAGGACAGGCAGCCACTGTTACATACAAACACAGACTCACCGACACACGTGCACACACTCGTGGTCACCGGTCTTTCCTACATCTACACTACCAACAATCTGCCCCCAGCACACAGACCCGCAGGGCAATGGCACTGGGACTGGAGAGCTTTGTGACCAGTCTCATCTGATACAGGTGATAGCCAGGCAGAAAAATTACTTCTGTGGTCAATTTGAAAAGTGACAGACATTGACCTACGTTAAAAATAACCACATCTGGTAGAACTAAATCAACACGAAATTCAGGCCAGCAAAGGCTGATGGGATACAGGGCAAAATTATCCTGTTCCAAGCAGAGGAAGGGAAGCAGATCTTCCTGACATCTGAACTGCAAACTGAAGCAGGAAAGCTAGAGGTGGTAAATACACTGATCACAAGAGAAAAATCACAGTATCAGTGATGCAACTGTAGATCTCTGTGGATTCGAGGCCAGCCTGCTCTACAGAGTGAGTTCCAGGACTGCCAAAGCAACATGGAAAAGCCCTGTTTCAAAACATTAAAAAAAAAAACCTAAATAAACGCAAAACCTTTTATGTTTCTCTTTTTGGTTTTGAGACAGGCTCTCACGGAAGCCAGGATAACCTCCAATGGAGGCTAGGTGGAGATCCTCCTGTCTCCAGCTCTGCAGTGCTGGGATTATAGGCATGGACCACCATACCCAGTTTAATATAGCATTTTTAACAGTTTTGTGTGGAAGACTGATCAATTTACACAAACCAAAAATTGCATTTTACTAAGGAAAGTATATTTTCTGTTAAAAATTGTAATTCTTGTGTTTAAAGTGTATTAGAAGAATTCAGCTGGTAAGGTGCATGCCTAGCAGGCAGGAAGCCCTGAGTTCAACCCCCAGCACCTCGGAAGGTGTGGAGGGACACTGTCACTTCTAGCACTCCAGGAAGGAGAAGATAGAACCAGAAGTTATTTTCAGCTGCATATTAAGGCTAGCACCCTACTCAAAAAACAAGTAAATGTAGCCAGACATGGTGGCACATGCCTTTAATACCACCACATGGAAGGCAAAGACAGATCTGTATTTGAGGCTAGCATGTTTATATAGTGAATTTCTGGCCAGCCAGGGCTATATAGTTTGACCCTGTCTCTGCCAAGGCAGTGGTAGCATATACCTTTAACCCCAGCACTCAGTAGTTTGAATCACTGAGTTTGAAGCCAGCCTGATCTACATAGAGCTCGTTCCAGGATAGCCAAGGCTACACAGATGAAACCCTCTCAACTCACTCTTAAAAAAAAAAAAAAAAAGTTGATCTCATCTCAAAATAATAAACACTAAAAGTTAGCATTTTTCCACTAAGAAACACAAAGATGCAATGGGCAGATACTGTTGGCAATCAAAACGGTGGGTCTAAAACTGAGGGATTGGGTTAGGGATATAGTTCAGTGGTGAGACACTTGTCTAGTGTGTGTGAAACCCTGGATTCCATACACGCAGCACCACGAACTAAGAAAACCTGAGGCTCCCAAATGTTCTAGAATTGGTTAAGAAATACACATATATACCATATATGTGTGGGCATTCCCTGTGCAGGCTCAACCAGCTTCCTCTGAAAGGCATCTGACATATCGGATGTTTCCACTGTCTGTTGCCTCAGACCTCCCTAAGAAGGAACAGTAGGGCTACTATGACCCCCACAGGATTCCACCTACCTCACAGTGGCCCTCTTGAGGTCATTGCAGAGATAACTTCACCAGCCCCTGAGCCCACAGCACAAGTTGGTTGAGGCCAATCGTGGGTGATCATTCTCGGTCCTCTCTCTGGCCGAGGTGTGGCCCAGACCTCCCCCCCACTTCCTACAGAGGTGCCTCTGAGGGAAATAGAAGACAGAACAAAGCCCACCCTCTACCAAGAGGAGGAACCAGGTGGACTTTTCCAGCCACCACCCTGGAGATCCTGGCACCTAGTGCTCTACGGTCATCTCCGGAAGAGTATCAGAGAAACATGCCATTGGTGTCACCATCTCCAGCCTCAAATGCTGTGGTGGCTAGAGACCAAGATGCCAGTACATCACAGGTCCCAAGCCAGGGCGAGAGTAAGACTGGGCCCAACGTCGGCACCCATATCCTGCGGAAGCCCACCATGTCTAAGGTGATCCTGAGGGCTGTAGCTGACAAGGGAGTACATAGCCGTGTGTCCCTTGCTGCCTTGAAGAAAGCTGTGTCCATCACAGGGTACAATATGGCCCAGAACACCTGGCGCTTCAAGCGTGTGCTCCAGAATCTAGTGAAGAAAGGTATGCTCAAGCAGGTGACTGGCAAAGGTGCTTCAGGCTCTTTCCGCCTGGGCAAGAAGAAGGCCTTCAAGTCCAAGCGCAGAGCCAAGAGACGCCAGCGGAGGCAACAGAGGCAGAAGCCTGCGCAGCACCTGTCTGGACCAGGTCGATCACTACTAGGCTCCAGAAAGAGCAATAACCAGCTTTTCAAAGGAGTTCGTAGGGTGGCTAAAGGCCGCCACCAATAATAAGGTCAGGCGGGGTGCTAGGCTTGCCACAAAGTGGGAATAAAACCCAACTTATTTCACAAATGCCTTCTGGAATCTTTGGGGTTCTAGGGGTGGCAACTTAGGCCAGTGGCTGAAGGCCATGGGGCACGGGGCTTGGGGGAGAAGTCGAGGGTAGAAGGAATCCAAGGCAGAATAAAATGGACTTGAAAAATATGGTAGGATTCAAAACATCCGTTGCCATCAGCTTGTCCAGGCACATCCTCTCCTCGTGGAGAGGTAAGCCGGGTGTCATGGGAGGGAGGGCGAGAGGGAGGGAGGGCGGGCGAGAAGGGGGGAAGGTGAAGAAGAGAAGGAGAGAAGGAAGAGGGAGAGAAGAGGGAGGGAAGAAATGGAAGAGAAAGAGGGCAGAAGAGGAGAAAAGGAAAAGAATTTACACCGGGAACCCCTTTTGCCTCTTGGGCCCTTTCCTTTAGACAGAGGCTGGTCCCCTTTCTCTATGCCTTTCTCTGGTCATAGCCTCGTCTATGACCAGAACACACAAAGACAAGGTCAGCACATGGGCTGAGCCCCCAGCTAACCTGGGACCAGGGCTCAGAGGTCTTTGCTGCTCATAGAGACTAAAATGTTCAACAATCCAGGGGAGCTCCCCTCTCCAGTCCCCCTCCCCCCAAACTTTCCTTTACTCACTCAGAGGTGGCCATGTCTCTCTTCAGACTGTGGGAGAAAATAGAGGTTGGGGGGAGGGGTCAGTATCAATTTGGCTTTGCTTCATGATGTCCCAAGAGCTCCCAGGTAGGAATTCCATGTGATTATAGTCAGAACCCCCTCCTAGTTCCAAGACAGACAAGAGTGGAACCCCAGCTACCCAGAAAGGGAGCCCTACCTTCCTCCTGCAGTTAAGAATCCCACTCCCTGAGAAGTATGGCTTCCCCAGTCTCAAAGTGTCAACTGCTGCCCTCTCAGGCCAGCACACTCACCGTCCTTCACGCCGACAACACATGATGTAAGCCAGCAACAGGGTGAGCAGCAGAGCCACCAGCAAGGGCACCAAGAGGGTCACCAGGGCATCTGTTAGGAAGTCTCGGCCTGTGGCTTCAGTGGGTGGACTGAAGAATGGATCGTGCTCCAAGATCCCATCCCCTGGAGTAGGCACCTCATCCAGGGGCTCTGGCACTGACTTGTCTACCTGAATAGAGTCCAGAGCTGACCCGGGAGTAACTCAATGGACACAGAGACACTGCCCCACAGGAAACATGGCAGAGGGTCTGCAACTACCAACCTATACACTCCATATAACCACAGACCTCCTTCCTACCTGTCTCCCCTAGCCCATGTGGCTACAGAACAAACATTGGATGAGAGGCCAGGAGAAGCCAGTTCCAGGAGAGGCAGGCATGTACAATGGTTAGCACCGGTGCTAGGTTTGGGCTGCCTGAGTCTGGACTCTGACTTAGGCTAGAATTGGGGTGACTTGCCTCAACGTGGTTTCCTTGGCTGTGGATTCAGGGTGATATAGCGTGCCTGTTTTCTAAGTGAATCATAGTGATGAAACATGCTGGGGATATGGTGCCCAGCACACAGTTTTCAGTAGGTTGCCAATGACCCTGATGTGGATAGTATTTTGATGCTAATTCCCCTTTCCAGTGAAGGGCTGCAGAGGAGGAGAGAATCAGTATACAGATGACTTCTAGTGAACCTTCTGCCCATCTTAATTTGTAAAATGAAGGCTGGAGCCAGTGATTGGGCAGAAGAAGGGGAGGTAGAGAAATAAAGGCTGGTGGTAAGAGAACAGAGAGGAGGGAGAGGAGAGAGAAGAGTACAGAGGACCACGGAGGAGGATGACAGAGAAGCAGGAGGTAGAAGGACAAACACAGGGACTGGAAAACCCTCAAGTTATAAGTGTCTCATAGCTGGGGAATAGAGTGGTGAATCTGCCCAATCTAGGCTTGCAGAATATATTCATAATTACTGAGTTGTGTTTTCATTGACCTGTCATATCTGGGTTGGAGATTTACCGAAACACTGATGGAGTTTCCTTTTGCTGGGTCCCAGGAGGAGGACACACCAGCAGTTCCCAGCCTGGACTTAGAATCTCTAAGAGTCCCTTGAAACATCACCAAGAGCCACAATGGGTTTCTTACTAAAGGTTGGCTTGTTTGGTGACACTTCAGCAGGAAGCAGACAGAGGTGTCACACAGACCTCCACAGACCTCCCTAAAGCTACCAATGCCATCTCTGTCCTGATGCTCTCTCTAGGATGCTTGACTCCCCATTACTTCCCAACACTCTCTTTCCCAGGGGAAGGTCTTCAAGACTGGCACCAGTAGCCAGGTGGTGGTGGCTCATGGCTTTGATTCCATGCTGTTTCTTGGGAATTCCTGGTAGTTTTAGCTGAGTTTATCTGGAACTCCAAGCTGGAGAGTCCAGATGTGGGCTTTGTTGCCCTCTTGTGGCAGAAGATAGAAGTGTGTGTGTGTGTGTGTGTGTGTGTGTGTCTCCATGACAGAGACAACAGACTGATGCTGAGACCCAAACTGACACTGTCAGAGAAAAAAGGTTGAGCCAGAGAAATCATAGCTGGAGATTTGATGAAGAGTGCACCCTAAACCCAGATGCTAGAGCCAGGATCCCTCCTCACCAGAGACACATTGCACCAGTCAACACGGAAGTGGGGTGCCAAGGTGTCATAGCAGGACAGTAGTGGAGGCTGTCCTTGGCCACAACGGGCATAGCTGTCAGGCGATGCCACCATCTTCAGGCAGGTGGAGAAAGGTGTGGCAGAGCCCACCTTAATGTATACCCTGGAGCAGAAAGGAGCCACTGTCAGCATAGAAGTGGGAGTGGGTTACTACCCTGTAGAGCAGGGGTGGAGGTGTCCTGGCAGTAGGCAAGGACCTGAGACGGGGTGGGGTGTGACCATGGCCTGATGGGAGACATCAGAGTCCTCAAAACCTGAGACCAAGGCAGAGCATCCCACTCTTTATGCACCCTAGAAATCTTTTAACATGTTTTCATGCGGTATCAGTAAGTTCAGAGTTCAGGCCAAACAAGGGCTTGGGCTCGGGGAGGACAAGGAGACGGAGGGGAATGTGCAGTCGTGTGCAACGAAGAGATGGGCGTGATGAAGGTATGTCATGGCAGCACTGAGGAAATCAGGGAGGTGGCTTGCCGCTCAACCAGGAAACCCTTCCTGGGTTGCCCCCTTACCCTTCCTTCCGGCCCTCAATAGGAAGAGGGACTCGGCCTCCTCGGTCCAAGGCAGACGTGATGTTGAGCAACTGGAGCTCCCCTGGCTCCCAGAGTCCCCCCAAGGTGGTGAGGAAGCGGTTGGCAGGTGTAGAGGGCAGCACCTCCTCCACATCATGGCTGCGCACCAGGAACTCAGCTTGGTAAGGCAACCGGGGACCTGAGGAGGCCACGTGGGCACTCAGCTGCGCGTGCACGGGCGCGCGCGCGCGAACACACACACACACACACTGTGCTTGGTTCTCCAGGTGCTCTCTCACCTCCTCTAAGCTTCCCTGTAGTCTCCACACCACCTCTGTCCCAACAGCCTCTAGACAACCCAGGCCCCAAGTTCCCTTCCCCAATACTGTACCCCATGACTGCTGAGTACTCTCCAGCCTGTGGGCAGTTCAGTTAGTTATACAGCCTGAGAATAGACCTCATTCCAGAGCTCCTTCACTAAAGCTACCAACACCATCTCTGTCCTGATGTCCCCTCTCCAGGATGCTTGGCTCCCCATTACTTCCCAACACTCTCTTTCCCAGAGGAGGGTCTTCAAGATTGGCACCAGTAGCCAGGTAATCACGCCTTTGATTCCAGCACTCAGGAGGCAAAGGCTGGCAAATCTCTGAGTTTAAGGCCACCCTCGTCTACAGCATGAGTTCCATGATAGCCAGGGCTACACGGAGAAACCCTGTCTTGGAAAACAAAAAGATTGTCGCCAGTAGAGGAATGGAATTGGAGGTACCTTCGGGATCCCCAATTATCAGCAGCAGCCTCTGTCTAGTGGTGTCAAAGCTGTCCCGATTGTAGGCCGTAACCTGGAGGAATGAAAAGTCTGAGGTGTAGCTCTAGCGGAAGCTGACAAGGTACACATGGGGTGTGTGCAAATTATATGCAAATAAGCATGCATAAACACCAATCCCACTGGTGGGATTACCCCTAGGCCCCAGTGGCCACCCCCAGAGTCTGGATGCCTCTGTGCTGGCACCTCAATGACTTGGTGCCCACGATCTTCTGGAGTGGGGGTGCCATAGAGGAAGCCAGGGTTATAGGGACTGCGCTGTGTGTAGTGCAGCCACCTGGGCAGGTCTGGATGTCCCTGGAGGTGAGCGTGGTAGGTGAGTCGGACAGTGGGTGGCACCTCTGATGGGAGAAACAAGAGGGAATTGGAAAATGGAGACAGGACAAGAGAACTGAACTGGCACATTCTGGCCCATCTGGTCCCTCTCTTACCAATGTGTTCTGGAAGACGCAGGAAGGTGGCGTGTTCCAAAGGATGCACAAACACACGACCCACGAGTGGATATAAAGTTGTCTGCTGGGCCTTGATGTCCCTCAGCCCTGCCAGGAGACCTATGGGGACCCCCAAAGGCCCCAAACACACAGACAGCTTCAGTCATGGGCAGGGGTGAACCCCCTCCCCCACAGTGTTCCTTGTCTCTGAGAGCTGAGGGCTCCTGGCCTGCTGCATGTGGTGGGGTACAGAGTCTACTCTGCTCCATAGTTTAGAGGGTGACAAGACCCAGGCTTTTGTTGTCTTTGAATTCATGGAAGGGACCCCCCCACCAACTTTTCACTCCATATTTTAGGCCCACGTGGGAGGAGACTGGTGTTTGGTTGACAAAAGGGGTGTACTATGTATGCTCAGGTGACTTGGTAGAGAGCCCCCATGCCAAATGTCTGGGAGGCTGGAGGAAGAGAGGACCCCCAGAAAATGGGTAGCCATTCTGAGGCTCCTAATTCTCAGAGACGGACACAGAACAGAGTCTGAGCTTTAGGCCAATAAGAGTCCAGCAAAGTGGACTTGCCCAGGCTTCCTCTGCCTTCCCTCTTAAGGCCAAATTTAGCCTGCTCTGCCAGAATTAGAGTCCCAGCCAGCTCATTAAAGGGCCCACGACCCTCTTGGCTTGTGCCATCATGGCCTCCCAGGGCCGTTGGACACCTCTGCCCTCCAAGCTCCCAGTACCCTTTCTCTAAAACCAAGCTCCCAGTCCTGGGTCCCTGAGTTCTTATCATTAGCTCCCCAAATCCTCTAGTTCTTCACCTACCCCAAAACCTCCTTCTGAGGACCCCCCTACTCTTCTACCTCATAACCCCTAAATTCTACCTCTAATTCTGTCCCTCCCCCAAAGAAGATCCCCAACTTGCCTGCAAGGAGAGGGATCCAAGATACTGTTGCTGCCATAGCTGCTCCAGCCAGCCAGTGAGTGACAGGGACAGAGGTTGGAGGAGCAGAGGGAGGGGGACAGAAGGGGAGGAGGTGTGGCAGAACAGCTGGGGCCAGCCTTGCCCAGAGTGCTGCCTCTTTCCAGTCCCAGAGTGAGCATTGTCCTCACACATGGTGTCCCCTAGCTGTCCCTGGGGACCGCAGTGAGTTTTATCTGGTGTCTATGCTTTTAAAAATTTTATATATCTGACATATTATTCTGGACTTCACTTGTTCCTTTGGTTTTATTAGTTTGTGTGTTTGTGTGCTTTGCCTGCGTGGATGTCTGTGCATCATCTGAATGCAGTGCCCCCAGAAGGCTAGAAGAGAGACCCAGACATCAGAGCCTCTGGAATTGGAGTTACAGACAGGTGGTTGTGAGCTGCCGTGTTGAGGCTGGAATGTGAACTCTGGTCCTCTGGAGGAGCAGCCAGAGCTCTTAAACCACTGAGCCATTGCTTCACCTCTATTTTGTTTTACCAGACAGTCCTATGTAGCCCAGGCTGGCCTCAAATGTGCTATGTTGGGAAGATGACCTTGAACTCCTGATCCCTCAGCTTCATCTCTTGAGTGCTGCGATTACAGGCGTATGGCCCCAGGCTTGTTTTTATGCAATGCTGGGGACTGAACCCAGGACTCTGTATATATTAGTCAAATACTCCATCAACTGGGCCCCATTCACAGCCTTGGGTTTTTTGTTGGCTTTGTTTTTTGGTTTTTGGTGATTGTTTGGGTTTGGCTTTTGCTTTATTTGTTTGTTTGGTTGGTTGGTTTGATTTGTTTGTTTGTTTTGTTTTGTTTTTTTTTTTGAAATAGGGTCTTATTAGGTATCTGATGTGCCCTGGATACAGGAGAATTATCCCAACCAACTCATTAAAGAGCCCACGACCCTCTTGGTTTGTCCCATCATGCCCTCCCAGGGCCCTAGGACACCTCTGCCCTAAGAGCTCCCAGTACCACCAGCCTCCACTCCAGTCCATATATTTTCTTTTTCTTTTTTCTTCTTGGTTTCTCAAGACAGTTTCTCTGTGTAGCCCTGGCTGTCCTGGAACTCTCTCTGTAGACCAGGTTGGCCTTGAACTCAGAAATTCACCTGCCTCAGCACTCTCTCTAGCACTGGGATGAAAGGCGTGCATCACCATGGTTACCCAAAATGTGTTTGTGCGTTTGGGTGTTTTGTCTGCATTTGTGTCTGCACACAAGAGGAAGGTATTAGATCACATGAGTCTGCAGTTATAGACTGTTTTAGCCTCCATGTGGTGCTGGGGACAGAACCCAGGACTTTAGGAAAAGCAGCCGGTACTCTTAGCCACTGAGCCATCTCTCCAGCACCCCCACCCCACCCCATCCCCTTTAAAATCTCAACAACTCAAATTGTTCTTGAGTTCCGAGCTGATTCCCAGTAGATGGCTTTCTGGCCCTTTCTCTATTTTTGTGGCCATTTTGACTGGAACCACGCCTCCCCCTCCCCCAACATCCCTAGACTCTGGACTAGCTTAATGTGTCCTCTTAATTTCCTGGCCTCAATCCAAGCTGTTCTCTCTGCCTGGTGTTCTCTTCCTGCCTTGTCCCTTGGGCAGACTTTGCACAGGTCACATGTGTCCCCTCCTCTCTGAAGTCTTTTCCCCTGTACCTCCTCTTCCTCAGCTGGCTGGGTATTGCTAACTCACCCCTCCCACAGTGTGCCAACCCAGCCTCAGAACATCTGTGGTATGAAACATGTGTTCTGGGCCACTCACCTGACCTGGGGTCTAGCAACTAGTAAGTATAGGGGCTGGTTAACAACTTCCTTTTTTTTTCTTTCTTTTTTTTTTTTCTTTTTGGTTTTTCGAGACAGGGTTTCTCTGTGTAGCCCTGGCTGTCCTGGAACTCACTCTGTAGACCAGGCTAGCCTCGAACTCTCGAACTCAGAAATCTGCCTGCCTCTGCCTCCCAAGTGCTGGGATTAAAGGCATGTGCCACCACTGCCCGGCTGGTTGACAACTTCCTTAACAGCAAGCAGAAGTATCTGTTCCCCAGCCTGAGCCCCAGACCAGCATCTCCCATGTGAAGGCCTGGCTGGAGAGAACCCAGATGATATCGGCTAAATGGGGACAGGTAAGCAGAGAGGCTCTCTCCAGCTGGAGTAGTTGGAGCTAATTCCATAAGCTTGGAGTCCCAGCTTGACAGTTGCTGCAGACATGGTCTTAAGTTACTAGGCCTCTGCTTTCACAACTATAAGCTGCATGATTTGTGCTGGCCTCTGTAGAGAACCCACAAAAAACACTGATAGCAGCACATGTTCATCACCTATATCATACAGAGATGAGAAAATCCTGCCTGACTGGAGCTTGTGGGATGGAGAGAAGAACCAATGACCTGTCTGCCTCTGTGCCAAAAGGTTCACATGCACTTATGTGCACTGACCAATTCCATACCCACAGCAGTGCCATGAGACAGACATTACCACAGCCCATGTTTTACAGCTGATAAGGCTGAGGCATGGCAGTTTCTAACTCCCTCCAAAGCCACGCTGCTGCTGACTGAATGTTCAGAAAGTGTACGGCCCCGTGCCCAGCTCCTCCATGATGCATTTGATGGTCGACACTTTTGGCCCGTCATTCCTGCATCTACACTTCTCTTGCAGGGACTTCCACTGAGAACAGGCAGCAGAACGCTCTCCTCTTGAACCCTGAGAAAGAAACAATGCCTCACCATTGCCAGCATTCCACAGTCTTTGCAGGCATGGCCTCACATCTAGAGATCCTTACCTTCCCACACCCTGGATGTCCAAGCAAGGATGTCTCAGTTCAGGCTTGCATTCAGGTGACTAGTGGGCAAGTTACTTTGTCCTTGTCCCTTTCCCTTCATTCTTCCCACCTGACCACCCTGCATGTCCCTGGAGAGTCACAAAATCTCCAGAGTCAGCATCTACTCCAGCTCATGGACAGGCATTTGTGCCAGGATCACCTTGATATTTCCTGCCTTCTCTGAGATACAGGAGCGAGGAAAGGGGTTTAGAGGCAGAGCAAGAGTAGCCAACACTGAGAAAGGGCAGGGTGCAGAATTAGCAGATATCCCTGCCCTGTCCCTGAACCTCCCATGTGATACCCTTCCCTCTTGCCTTACAGCTATTTTTGGTGCCCTTAGATCACACCCTTGGCTGTGTTAAGGCAGAGTGTGCCCCAGTGTTACCTACTCACAAAAACACAAGGTCCACAAAGGCCGGCCTCCCTCAATGGAGAAGATACAGCCATTTCTCTTCTGATCTTCCCCCAAGAGCATCCCCATCCAGGAGAGCCAGAGACTGTCCCAGGAATCCACTGGAGGCCCCCCGGGCTCCCAGGTCACCAGAAAACTTGAGGGTTTTGGAGCATAGGGACCAGAAAGGTGTCTCAGAGTCCTTAAGCTCCTTGTTCAGGAATATTTTTTTTTATTTTATTCTGTTTTGTTTTGAGAAAAGTGGGGCTGGGTGTGGAGGCACACTCCTTTAGTCCCAACACAAAGAAGCCAAAGGCAGGCAGATCTCTGCAAGTTCAAGGCTAGCCAGAGCAACACGCTGACCCTGTTTCAAAAGGGAAGGTGGAGAGATGCCTCAGAAGCTAAGAGCACTTGCTGTCCTTCAGGAGGATCTGAGTTCAGTTCCCAGCATGCACACAGACAGCTCACAGTCACCTGTAACTCCAGCTCTGGGGAGTCCTGCTAAGTGTGGGATACACTCACATCTATATATACATTTTTTTTTTAAGACAGGGTTTCTCTATGTAGCCCTGGCTGTCCTGGAACTCACTCTGTAGACCAGGCTGGCCTCGAACTCAGAAATCCGCCTACCTCTGCCTCCCAAGTGCTGGGATTAAAGGTGTGCACCACCACCACCCGGCCTATATATACATTAAATGAAAAAAAAGTTTTAACATGCACAGAATAATAAAATGGGCGCATATATCCCAGCTTCAACAATTACCAACTCCCGTCCATCCAATCCCTTCCTCTCTATCCTTTCCAGGTCCCATCTCCCATTTAATTTCATCTTCAGTATCTCAGTGCATCTCTTTTAAAGATAATGACTCTTTGTCTTTAAACAGAATCTCAAGGGATTATCAATTACCAAGCTTCCAGTGTTTGAATTTCCAGTCTTTTGTAAATTTAGTCTTTATTCATTCTGTGAGACACTGGGCCTCATCCCACCCACATTAACCTCAAACTCTTGGGTTTAAGGGATTCTTCTGCCTCACTTTCCCAAATACCTGGGACTGTGGGCTCATGCCTTGGTCCTTACCTAATTTCAGTGTTTTGCTTTTGTTTTCTTTTTTTTCTCTTTGAGACAGGGTCTAACTATGTAGCTTGGGCTGATCTGATATTCAGAAACCTCCTACCTCAGTCTCTTTAGTAATGGGATTACTACAGGTGGTGTATCACAACACCCCACACATATTTCACAGGTTTGTTTTTATGTGTGTGTGTTTGGTTTTGGTTTGTTTTTTTAGCAATGTATTTGTTTGAATCAGAATCCAAATAGTGGAGACACTGTAACTGGTTGGTAGACATAAAGATCTACATTTGTTTTTAGGTTTTCCGCCTCTTTTCCACCCAAGCATCCCTCCATTTTCTCCTCCCTCCCTTCCTTCCTCTTCCCTTGTCTCCTGTGAAGGAGCCAGATCAGTTCTGCGATCGTCCACACTCTGGATTTGCTGACAGCCTCTCTGCAGTGTTCTACCATATCCTTGTCACCTGAGCACTCTCCGAGAATGGAATTCTCTGGACACTGTTATCTTCTGTAGAGTACAGTTGGATCTAGAGGTTGGGTCGTATTTAGGTTCTTTCTTCTGCAAGCCCACTTTATAGATGGAGATAGGCTCTTTCTCTGGAGGCGCAGTGTGTACAATCAGTCTTTACAGCTTCTGCCTTGCAAAATGGTGAGACTCAAATCCTGCCACTCTCTCTCAGCAGTTGGAATACAGCCAGACAGAAAAATTGCCCTCATAATTTGCTTTCCAGGT